CAGCGCGTAGGACTTTGTATAGCCGTGGTACAGTTGTCATGATAACCGCATTGCGATTACTGCTCGAGCCCTCTGAGTAAAAAGGTAGTGCACAGCCTTGCTTATGGCTTAACGGCGTACCCTGTGGATTCTATAGGGGTTTAGGGGTTTAGGGTTTAGGGTTTAGGGTTTAGGGGTCTGTCTTTGGTTTATTGAGATGATGGGCATGGTCGCACAGCTGTTGCTCCTGATGCGGCTTCCTTTCCAAGACATACCCTAAACCCTAAACCCTAAACCCTAAACCCTCTTGGGTAGTAGTTCGGTCGGTGGTATGAGCTGGCCCGCGCCTCAAGCAAGCGCGGGTCTTGGGAGATGTGCCCGGGTATGGATTGCAGGAGTGATGTTATCGATGGTTTCGGACTCTTCTGTTGGTAGCATTTGAGAAGGTCAGACCAGCCTCGAAACAGCATAATATACGAGCAGGGTTTGGGGGTATCTTCTATTATAATGATAATAAGGAACCCCCAAAACCCTATTCTAGTTATTAAGGCCCCTACAGTACTTGGCAGTCTTACCAAGAGCAGATATCATTGCTGCGCAGTCCCCCGAAGAACTAGGCGGGCTGTGCCCTCAAACTCCTATTCTTGTTTCGGCTCTCCAAGTGTTGGGGCTTACGGCGTCTAGAGAGAGGCTAGAGCTGATAGCTTGTGTATCATGCGAAGCTCGTGTATGCTCCACATAAGACGGCTCTAGCGAGGATCTACAGTCACACGCAGAAGACCATCATAGAAAAAAGAAGCAATCATGAAATAAATAATTATAGAAATAATCGAAAAAGTACTAGCAGTCAAAATGGCAATACCACTAACAGTAGCACACCTAGGGTGTAGGGTTTAGGGTTTAGGGTTCCGCTCAAGTTCACATTAACACCCTCAAGCCTTGCACATCAAGCTCGCAACCTTTCAGGTTTTAGGTTTAGGGTTTAGGTAAACCTTCGCCACCACTCAAACCGTCATGAAGCCAAGGCAAAAAGCAAACCGCAACTACAGCGATCACTATCTGCTGCCATGTGCAAGCACCACCAGGCTGCACTGTGGGATCAGTTACACGTAGGTTTCAAAGTATGTGCGTGTACATAAAGATGGATATACATATATATATATGTTTATACTTGTACACTATCGTAAGCTCGAGTAAGTTACAGTTTAGTGTCGTATTTTGTTTGGTATTACTAGTACCCTATCGCATTGTATAGGGTTGTCGGGTCTTAGTGTAGGGCTCACCGCAGTTCGTGCACACGGTTTACTAGCTCAGCCTGCAACGGGCTCCGATTTCGACATTTGTACATAAGTGGACCATATCGGTATGCTGAGTTCTGGTTCGTGGCTCAGGTTATGTGCTGCCTTAGCGAATGACATGCTATCTCAGTTTTGTTGATTGGTCGGATTTGTTCCTCTTTACCCTAGTTCGTACACGGCTTCGTTACAGACGTTGCCCTGTCTCTGGCGCGCTTACAGCAGTCTGATGTGCACCTTGTTAACCCTAAACCCTAAACCCTAACCCGCTAAAAGGGGCTCCAAAACCCTAAACCCTAAACCCTAAAACCCAAAATTATTGGACAATCCTCAGACAACCTGTGCCAAAGCCTTGAAGCCTCCAGGCCATCGCTACTAGTAGGGGAGTCCTATGGTTGTTTAGGCAGTGGCTTCTTCCCTAAACCCTAAACCCTAAACCCGACAGGGTTCTGTTGGAGGCTCTCCGAGAAGTGAATGCGGATGAGATCTTGGACGCCTTCGACATGAACATGCAAGACTCGGAAGATGGTGATGACAACTGCCAAGAGCTAGGTTTTTTTGTTGCGATGTTTTGATCTTTCTACCATTGCCCTTGTTCTTGTCATCTTTGTCGCGCCTCCCAGTTCGTGGTCGTCGTCGCTGTCGGTGGCTTTTGCTGTAGTAGTTGAGGTTATGTTTGTCGCTGTTTGTGGCCGTTGGGGTCGTTGCTACTCGAATTCCTTTTGCTGCTGCTGCTGCTGCTGCTGCTTATGCTGCCGCTGTTGCTGTGGCTGTGGCTGTGGGACCGTGGCCGTGGCCGTGGCGTCGTCGTCGTTGTTGTTGTTGTCGTTGTCGTTGTCGTCGTCGTCGTCGTCGTCGTCGTGGTTGTTGTTGGTTGTTGGTTGTTGGTTGTTGGTTGTTGGTTGTTGATTGTTGGCTGTTGGCTGTTGGTTGTTGGTTGTTGATTGTTGTTTGTTGGTTGTTTGTCGACTGTTGTTTGTTGATTGATTGATTGTTGGTTGTTCGTTGTTCGTTGTTTATTGTTTGTTGTTTCTTGTTGTTGGTTGTGGTTGTGGTTGT